ATAATCCTAAAGATATGAAGACCAAGATGTTGTGGCCTCTAGTGTGGTCGCAGTCTCCTTTCGATTTATAAAAGTGGGTCGACCTCGTTGTGGCAACTTGGTCTTGTTGTCAGGGCAACTATGTAGAATGCACCTAGTCGGAAGTCGTCTGCCAGAGTAGTTGTCATGATTCCCAGCATTAGACGGCGGACGAAACGTTTGAGAATGTACCAAGTTTACTGTCTGACACTGGGAATCATGACAACTACTCTGGCAGACGACCTTGGACTAGATGCATTCTACATAGTCGCCCTGACAACAAGATCAACCCAATTTAATAATCCTAAACCCTGGCCACAACCCAGTATTTCCAGCATCTGAGAGACAACATAAATCGGTCTTTTGGGTTGCTCTCAGACAAAGCCTCGAGGTTAATCATGGAGGGTCTGTGTTGCTCGCGACTCTGGTCAAACTTGACTTCTCTTCGACTTCGTTTCAACTTGAGGCTTTCGCAAAAATGAGTCCCAGCTCTGACGATGTAGTCAATTGGCTCATCTTCACTTGAAACGTCGGAGGATGTCTCGTTGACCGCATCAACCTGAACATTGTGTTAAGGCCAAACGGCGGCAGAACAACGCGAATCAGCCAAAGTCTTGTGGTGAGATTGACCGGCGAATCTCGCCATCATGTACTTCCATACGAAATGAAAGTGTTCACATCAATCCCACCACAGGAGATGATTCGAAACCCGCATTTTCTTCGTATTTACAAGGTCAGGTAGGCTCGGCTTCTACCACAAATTGTTGGGCACCTTTTCACCGGAATCGAAGCAGATTGCCTTGGCAACAGCGTCAACATGAATGTTCCAGTAAGGCCAATCGACAGCTGGTCAAGAGGAATCCACTGTCGTCTTCTGGTGGAACCGACCTTCGAATATCTTCACTCTCAACACTTTCACTCGAAATGAAAGTAAGCTAAACAATTATGAAACAAGAGATTCCGCGAAACCCAACTTTTCTTCGTATATTCTACCACAAAGTTGCTCTTCCACTTTTCACCCATTTATTTTCCACCTGTACCCTCCGGCCAGACACGCCAAGAGCCCAGCCTCGGAACCGGGCGTTCGGGAAGCTGAAGAGCGTTCTTTATCCCAGTCTGAGGTCGCAAATGCTACCGGTGAACATCCACATGCACAGTCGTCTGGGCTGGCACAAGGCACACGAGCATAAATCACATTTGCAATCACGCCGATTCTCGCTGGTACAGGCAGCCATGTGAGCTAGTGTGCATGGCCGTGTTCGGCCGTGTTCCACCCACACGTGCACATGCTACAGACTGAAACACACACACACAGGTTTGCACTAACGGGTGTGTATGTGTGTGTCTTTAGGCTCGAAGACACTGACCGCCGGTTTCAATTGCCTACTCGTCTGACCCCATTGACCGGCGGGTTGCCCAAATGCCATGTGAATCGGCCAAGCAAGTCCGATCGCGGTATCCGTCATTGCAACCGACCGGAAATGAGTATGACGGATTTCTCGCCGCCCAGTTCATCCCGACCATTTTTGCGTGAATGTGTTTCTGCGAAGAAAAGTTGAAGTTACACAAATATCTTGGTCAACAATTGTTGAACTCAATGCCATTTCGCGTGAAAGTGTGTGATGAAGAGTTCCGAGTGTGGATCACACCGTAAGACGACGGCGGAATCCTATTTGCCTTTTGCCGAATGGCTTAACGGGAACCTTTTCATAGACGCTGTCCTCGAGGCAACCTTTCTTGAGCTTTCGTCTGTCACTTTGTACCTCATTTATATATATGTATGTGTGCTTATGTGTCTTCATGTGTACGTACGTGTATGAGACCAGTAATAGTAGCTCAAGGTAATTAGGAAAAAAACGTAATATTTGCCCTTAGTCATTGAGATTTAATGACTAAAAACTCATTTTATTATGTTTGATCGACCTTGTTTTCGCAACTTGGTAGGAATGTCAGGAAGACTCTGTCGAACATACCTGGTCCTGTGTCCTCTGACAAAGTATTCGGACCATTGACTTGGTGCATCCGCAAACATTTCGCCGGCATCGTCGGTGAGAAGCGAAATCATGAGCGCATAGTTACTACTCATCGAAGTGACAAGTGAAGGTTGATCAGAAAATTGGTCAAGGGGATTAACTTCACTTGTCAGTTTGATAATTTGTGGCCCCGATGGCGCCTATCACTAACGATGCCGGCGAAGCGTTTTGGAATGTATCAAGTCATTGGTCCGAAGCTGGAAATCACGAATAATATGGCAGAGGACGCAGGACCAAGTAGGCTCCACAAGGTCTGCCTGACGCAACGACCAAGTTGCGAAAACAAGGTAGAACCAACGCCATAAAGCTTAAGGAGATGGCGACCAAACAGAAGGCCACACCATCTTGTTCTTCATATCTACGACCACTTTGTCTAGTTTAACTATCACTTCGATTGCATAATGTCAGACACACGTTTGGCTAATTCTATGAGCTTTTTGTCTTTCTAGAAGTTGTTTGACCTTGTTTTCGCAACTCGGTCATTTTGGTAGGAAGACTTAGAAGAACGCGCCTTGTCCGGAGTGCTTTGTATGCATCATCATTTCCAGAGTAGGACCGTGGACGTGGTACATTCCCAGACTTTCGCCGGCATCGTCAGTGAGTCTCGCTATTCGTAGCACCACACAACAACTCGTCAAAGAGATGTAAGAGAGAGTAATATGATGAAATGATGCCGGCGAAACGTCTGGGAATGTACCACGCCCACGGTGCTAGTCTGGAAATGATGATGCATACAATGGACTACGGACTAGACACGTTCCTCTAAATCTTCCTAACAATATGACCGAGTTGCGAAAACAAGGTCAAACAACTTCTTAAAACAACAAAAGGAGACTGCGACCACACAAAAAGGCTACACCATCTTGGTCTTCATACCTTCGACAAAACATATAGTTTACTCGGAGGTATGAAGACCAAGATGTTGTGGTCTAAGTCTTCCTACCAACATGAGCAAGTTGCGAAAACAAGGTCAAACAACTTCTGTACAACGAAAGGAGACTGCGACCACACAAAAGGCCACACTATCTTGGTCTTCATACCTTTGACAAAACACATAGTTTAATCAAAGGTATGAAGACCAACATGTTGTGGTGTAAGTCTTCCTACCAACATGACCAATTTGCGAAAACAGGGTCAAACAACTTCTTAAAACAAAGAAAGGAGACTGAGACTGGGATTTTCGCTTCCGATCATTTTCCAATTGTCATGAACATTTGTACAAATACTGATTCATACCATTGAAGTAAAATGGATGAACAAGATAATTGGCCTCTTCTTTCAAACTGTATATTAATTTATGATCTCATCGAGTCTATGAGAAAGCATATCTATAAATTAAAGTTAATTCCCGTTAATTTGTCCATCAGCTAATGTGGGCATTCATTTATTTGGGATACTTAGTATAGAGCAAAACCAACTCCCTCAAGATTCTTATCTCTTAGGTGACACGTATTTTAATATAAAATATTTTTATATAATTTGTTCAGTAATTCACTTAAATACACAATTTGCTTTCAGTAAATGGAAGCTTGCCTGTTCTTTTATATCATTTTAACTCTTTACATGAAACTTCTCATAAATTGTGCAGCCGCTTAATTGGAGCAGTGTTTTCTAGTCCCGATGCATCCAAATTACCGGGCTCCTCTTTATATAAATATATATTTTTATTTATTTATTTATGTATTCCCATTTATATATGCTTATGTGTGTAAATATATCCTTCAATTGTGAATGGTGAAGCCAAGTCTGGACATTGACGCACCTTTCGTTTCGTTCGAAGTGGCGAGTTGAAGGGATTCGCAGATTGGCATCACCTGAAGCCAATTTTACGAATAATTCTTTGGGGCATTGTCTCTCAACACATCCACAGTCACAATTTCAATACAATCCATCTTTTGCTTCATGTAAAACCACTTCAACCGTCATCTCGTCTCGCCTCTTGAAGCGTAATGAAAGTCATGGTAACCCCAGTCTCTTGAGAGAGTCTTTAAGACTCAGCTTTTCATCACATCTACGCGGTTATGTTCTCTTCCTGGGCCCATCGGGATGGCATCACGTCGCAACGGTTGTGTCAATCGAATGACAAAGAAAGTGGACCCGAATACAGACGAATGACCCCTGCGACTACCATTTTGGAAGGACAAATGTATCTGACACTCGGGCCTACATGCTACAGAGCTTGTCAAATGCTCGGCCACACTGTACATGCCTATTCATCAATCCAGTCGTCGATATGTCTGGCTGTCTTCCTTTTGTGTGTGTGTGTGTGTGTAGCTAAAGTAGACGCTTGATTAAAACTGCATACAATCAGAGCACACATCCCGCACAGTGGGTCGACGACCACGCCTCTCATTCGAGTCCCCATTGAATCAAAGTACATAAATCATAGAAAGTTTGCGGGGTGTGAATCCATGTGTGTGTGTG